AAAAAAAAAAAAGGAAAAAATAAATGACATATGTTGAGATCATTTTAGAAACTTACTCAACTTTTTTCAGTGCCTATCATCCCTAGAACTCCATCTTCTCATTACTGGAACATAGTATTTTACGTCTATCCAAGTTGCCCGACTTTTGAGTCTGTATCTAATGCTGTCACTGGGAGTTTTATTTGAAGCCATAAGTACCATATGTTGTTCATGATCATGACCATGTAACCCCCTTTTTAAGACAGGGTCTACGTATTTCAGGCTGCATGCTTCTATTGCCCAGGGTGGCCTCAAACTCAGAGAAGTCTTCTTGGCTCAACCTGGAGGCACTGGAGTGCTGAGATTATAGGCACGCACTACCACACCCAGAAAAATATTGAACATTTTAGTGATCTTTAAGTGGCACGAGTATTATGATGTCTAATATATGTACCTGAAGTTATACACTTGGGTATTTGTGTTTAACTTCACCTTTTAGGAAATCAATTATTAGGTGATGTCTATAAGCACTGCAAACTGTGTATTATACTCTGCTATATGATAAGCTAGTACTCTAATAACTAAGAAAAATATATTTGAACCTTTATTTGTGATTAATTACTGGAATGGTAGTCCAATTCAGACTTTCTAGCTTGAGTATTTTGTTTCTTATAAAGAACTCTGAAAAAAAACCCTCTGCAGTGTAATAATGCTATATGGCCACACTAGTTTTTACAAATTTATTTTGTCTCTTTACAGGGGACAGCAATTTGCTCAGCAGATACAGCAACAGAATCCTGAACTTATAGAGCAACTGAGAAATCACATCCGGAGCAGATCATTCAGCAGCAGCACTGAAGAACATTCCTGATCAGGGATGTTCGCTCAGGATGAAAATGGTTTATGGCTCCGAAGTAGTCAGTGTAGATCATAGCCAAATGCAAAATGAAACAAAACAACAAGAAAAAAGCACCAAAATAATGGAGGAAAACCTCTTGTGTGTATTCCTAAAGAGCAAATCTGTTTAGAAAATAGGTTTATCACAGAGACTGGAACATAACTCCTCTGGAAATGAATGGTCATAAGCCTTGTTAAGTGCCAGTATGACACTTGGACAAGGTTCCATCCATTTCCGATCTTTTATCATATTTGTACATTAGAGTTAATAGCAGAGTATATTTATTGAATTGTAGCACTGTTCATTGGTGACTTCTTTAGCTTCAAGTTCCCCTAAGCAAAGTTTTTTGAGAGGGGAGATGAGGGGAAAGGTTTGTCATACTGGTTTAGAGGAAATACTGAGCAGCATGTCAAGAGAGAAGAAATGTATTATTTCAGTTTAACTTTGATAAGTACAGTCAATAATG